ACACCATGCGGTCACATGGTTCAACAGCATCATGGCCCCATATTTTTTGCCTTCGCATGGCCTGTCTGCCATGCAGTCACATAGCACACACAATGAGCCATCGTTTCGGGTTTTTTTTTCATTCCACACATATGTTTATTGATTTTGAACAATATTTTTTCAACAGAGGGTGGACTACTGATGATGTGGTGGCTCCGAGCTCCCCATTCAACGAGCTCTCTTCGCTGATCGCAGGCAAAGTTTTTCTCCACTAAAAGACCAAGTTATTAAACAAACAACACGAGAACAATAAAAAATTGAAGGATATCAATCTCTAAGCTGCTGCGACTCCGTCCTCAACTTCTCCGCCTGTACTGCCACCACCACTCCGTTTATCGTCGTTCTAGGTTAGTTAAAACATAAAAGTTTCCCTCCATTTTTGGTGTTATTCTTTTTGCTTCATTTTGGTATTTTTAGAAGGAATATTATGGTTATTGGGAGATTGTGGACGTATATACTTTTCTATGATTCCTTTTTTTTTTCTTCTTGGGATTGATTTATTGTTTTTACTTCTTGGGCTTCTGCAAGTGGTAGGTTTTTCGATTTAGGTGGAAAGATTAAAACTTTGGATTTTAGGTTTTGGCAAAACTGAAAAGTTGTGATATTTGATGGTGAACTTCAAGGACCTTTTTTTCATTTTTCTTTTTTGTTAAAGCAAAGTGTCAGTCACAAACTAAACTTACAACTTAGATTTGCCAATTAAATTGGCAATTAGAGTTTCATAGTTTTGATATTCACGTGTCCGAGTCAATTAACAAATAGGAAAGATTCTCATTCTCTACTAGTTTATTAGGTTTTTTGCTCCGAAAAAATTCTTTGGTTGTCTGTTTACACTAAGTTTGAAATACATTGTAGCAGTTTGTTCTCTATGCTTTCGTGCATGGTTGAAATTATTGGTACAATGCATTATTTTGAATTTAGAAAGTGAAAATATGAAGAAGGAAAATGCTAAATAAAATTATCTTATTTGTTTAGATGTCGTAGGTATCAAGGGATATTCACCTAAGATTAAAAAAGTGAGAAACTGTACTTATTTGTTTATATTTCTTCCAATCTTTATTTAATCTTATAAAGGTTTTCAAATTTTGTATTAATTTTTTGAAGGGGGCAAAATAACAGGATTTCTTTTTTTCTTTTGTAGAGATGAGAGAAAGGATAGTTATACCCATTCTTAGGTGAGACACAACTTGATAACTTTTGCAAAATGTTTGAGGTACAAATATTTAGATAGTAGCTGATGACTCAGAGTTTTGTGCTCGAACTCGACCTACTTTGCCCGACCTTAACCCTTCATGTATTGCCCACCTATGAGGTTGGGGCTCAGCACTTGTATCGAGCCGTATGTCCAACAACGTGACATCTAGGGAAGAAATGTCCTATCCTAGCTGCAACTCCTTGGGATCCTTATCCTAACTGTAACTTATCCAAACTCAAATGGAACACTTTGAATAAAACTCAAACACCTTGTCCAATGAAAAAATGAACTATAGATAGTTGAATCATTTTATAACTCTACTACGAACATCTATAAATACATGATCAAAGCTAATTATTTAGGTATGTTTTCATTATTGCCAATTCATAGCCTTACCCACTAAATTCTCTGTCCAACTTAAGCATAGAAAGGACTACGAGAACACACCTCATTGCCTTTGTTTCAAGTATCAAAAGATCGTTCATGTTCATCCACAACCTTTAAGCTCGACGTCCCAACTTTCAGTTCGAGATCTATCAGGTATAATTTTTGGTAGCATCATTGGTGCCGTCTATGGGAAACGCTACCAAAAACTATGGTTAACACATGCTCAGGTAGGGATGACAATCGGGCTCGTCGGCTCGGGCCGCTCGTGACTCGGCTCGGGAAAAGCCTGAGTCGGCTAGGCTCGAGGCTCGGTAGACCCGAGCCCCATTTTGGGGACACGGGCTTTGCCCGAGCCGACTCGTGAGCTAGCAAGCTTTTTTTAAAAAATATATATATTAAAATTTTGAGGCTGAAGGCAGCAAAAATGCTGCCTTAAAAGGTAGAAAAGCAGCAGTTTAGAAGAAAAAAAAGGGGGAGAAAACGAGCCTGTCCGGCTCGGCCAGGAAAAAGCCCGAGCTGAGCCTATTTTTTTTGGCCGAGCAAGAGCCCACAAAAAAGCTCAGCCATTTTAACCGGGCCGAGCTCGAGTCGAAACTTTAGGCTTGCTATGCTCAGGTCTTCCCCCAACAAATTCTTTCATTCCATACCACCCAACAAATTCTTTCATTCCATACCATCCTCCTCTCCTAAAGATCGTCTGGTCCCTCAAGAAGAATCATCAGAGATGCCAGCATCTCAACCAGTTGTTCTCACCACTAGAGCTTTTGAGGAGCTCCGCCAGCAAGTTGCTGCACTGACCCAATTGTTGAGTCAGAGGAACTAGCACCCTTCGCATACCCCAACTCCTGAGGGTAGTTTTATGACAGATGCTTGAGTTCGAGCCCCACGTATTTTAGCAAATAATATATGGAGAGAGATGGCTTGTAGGCCGCGTCTCTACTAATGATGCAAAAATGGACAATCAAATGTATCGATTTCATATCAAGTAATTTCCATGTGATTGTGATCATGTTCGACTCAGCTTTACCTCTTCCACGTTGTCTGTTACTTAAGCATCAATATCTTTAATCTTGGTTTTGGGCGATTGATGCAGCCACAAATAGCGTTATAACAGTGTTCATCTCCAAATCTCAACAAAATAGTAATTGCACATGATTTTCAACACTGCTTTGTTAAACAACTTTGTTTGGAGAATTTTTTTTTTTTTTCATTTTACTGTCTTTTAAACTTTAGGGTAAATGAATCTTCAAATCCAAATTATACCTAAATTTCAGATATGCATTTATTGTTTCCTGGACCAATTTTTCCCAATTGCTTGCTACATATTAATAAGATTTTTCGAATATGGAACTTCAAGATTCAATATCAAGCAATATGATACTTTTAAAACTTAAATGAGTAATTTGTTCCAATTTTAAGGAGTATCAATGCAAACACTGTTATTTTTTATTTTTTTAATGTTTTTGAACTTTTGCTCTTATTCTTGTTAGGATCCTCTGGCATAAAATTGGGATACCTAGACCCATTGGAATATACAGGAAAAATATCAGTTCCTTTTCACTAAGGGTCATAAACTCAAAAACCAAAGTCTCTTTTATCACTAACATTTCACTTCAGTTACTACTTACTTACTCAGAAATATAAAGTTACCAACTACTCACCCATTTTTAGACAAAATTACCTAAATAAAAAGTCATACGTGGACGTAATAATGTTAAATACTTTGACAGCATGGACCAACATCAATTAAATTAAAATAGGTTTTTCTTTCCAAAATTTCCATAGCTATTTTCCTCACAGTAGCTATTTTCCTCACAGCACCGTTTGATTCTCTAGAACCCCAAATCCATTTCCTATCTATAACATTACTCAATTCTTCCCTACATCAAATCCAAATCAAGAAACCATTGCATATTGAACTCCCATTTGAGAAATTCCTAAATTCATATAAACCCATAAATTCCTTTACATGCCCCACAAATGGCAGACAACCTTATTATTGAAGAAGTAATTTTGGAGACAACATACGAGGGACCACAATGGGGTAATATCCTAAAATATTTTTGGAGGAACACTTTTAGAACCCTGTATTGGACCACAATCACTCTGTTTTTGGAATATCACGTGTTGTACAGGAATACATTGGATATTCATTTATATTTACTGCAATACTTTCTCCAAATTTGGCGATTATTACATTTTCTTCGTATCTTTTCGTGCCTTCATGCTATCTATTTTGTGGGTTTCTATTTCTTCCATTATGTCGATTTTCTTCTGTTTTTAGAGCTCTCATTATTACATCTCAATCACAATCTTGTATGTGGTGATAGACTTCAATGTTTTGCCATTTGTTTTCTGGGAAAAAAAATTCACTAAATAATAATTAAAACAAATGTGGGCCAGTATAAAATTAGTGCATAGGATAGAAAACTTTCTCATTGCAAGTGATTATTGTACATTTATCAAATTTGTTTTTGTCACCTTTGCACAAAAAACTTTACAAAATATTTACATTTTATTAGCGTTACAGTACTACCTTTTCTTTACAGATAACACATTTGAGGATGAGGAAATGATAACTAATGAATGCCAATTGACCGACTTAGACAACGAAGTTAATGACGATGATTTTCATTATGACAAGAATGCGAACGAACGGGTTTTGGTTGGATTAAAAGTAGACCATATGGTCGAACTTTTGATTACTGGGGATGAAGAAGTTGGATCAGATGAAGCCATTTGTCCAAGCGAAGAGGAGTTGCACATCGACTATTCTTCTGGTGAGGAAAAAGATAATCATTTCCCTGTTTATGATGCCGAAAGAGAGAAGTTCGATCCCCAGTTGCAGGTAGGAAAAGAGTTTAAAAACATTGAAGAGTTCAGGGAAGCAATTAGAAATCACGGCATAGCATCGAGATGTAATTTTAGATTCAAGTCTAATGATGAGTTTAGAGCCCAATCCATCTTAAATTAGATTGTACATGGAGGATTTGCACTTCGTGGAACAAGAAAAAAGGTTGTTTGCAAATAAAGTCCAAAAACCCAGAACATACATATATCAGGGATTGGAAGTCTAAGCTTATTATAAAGGCAATAAAAGATGATATGAAGTTAACAACCAATAAGGTTATGACATTGAGGGCTAGAAGATATGCAAGAGTACTGATAAAAGGATATGATGAGCACCAGTTTGGATTGCTGAGGTCTTTTGCTGCTGAAATATTGAGAAACAATCCCAGGTCTATATACATTGTTGTCATTCATGATTTAAAGTTTCAAGGAGTTATTTTATGTTTAGAAGCTTGTAAGAGAGGATTTTTTGGAGGTTACAGGCAACTTTTGGAGTTGGATGGATGTTTCTTAAAAGGGACGTTCGGAGGGTAAATGCTTGTGGAGGTGGCATTAGATGCCAATGACTTTATTTACCCAGTAGCATATGCTATAGTTGAGAGGGAGAATGCTACTATCTGGAGGTGGTTTATTCAACATTTGGGCGAAGATTTGAAGATGATGAATGGTAATGAATGGACATTTATGATGGATAGGCAAAAGGGTTTACAAAATGTTATAGATGATTTGTATCCCGAAGCTGTTCACCAATTTTATGTTAGACACATGTACAACAATTTCTTTAGAACTGATTTTAAGGGTTTAATTCTTACGGAATACTTATGGAAGGCTGCAAAGTTGACAATAGTGCCCGAATGGATGTTTTGGATGGGTGAGATGGAGAAAGAAAGTACTGCAGCGCATAATTGGTTAAAGAAAAGGCACCCAAGTGAATGGAGTAGGGCTTATTTTCAGACAAAGGTTAAGAGTGACATTTTTTTAAATAATCTATGCGAAGTCTTCAATAATGTTGTATTAAAAGAAAGGAAAAAATTTATATTGACAATGTTGATTGATTTGCATATAAGTTCCATGAAAATGATACAAGCAATAAGGGACAAGATGAGAAGAGTAGTATGGCCTTTGAGTCCTAAAGCTCAAAAGAAACTTATGTCAAACATTGAGATGGTAGAGCTATATGAGGTGGATTGATCTGGAGGGGCCCAGTCATATGTGAAATGTTCTAGTGGGGAATATGCTGTTGATCTAATGAACAAAACATGTACATGTAGGATATGAGATTTGACTGGGGTTCCTTGTGCTCATGCAGTTGCTGCCATTATAGACTGAAGGGATGAGCCGTGGAAGTATATGCATGAGTGTTATAGAGTAAGTACATATATGAACTGTTATGAGAATATTATAAACCCTATCAATGGGATAAAATTATGGCCTCAAGTAGATGCCCCTCCAATCAAGCCACCAGAATGGTTTGTGCTTAAAAAGGGAAGAAAACAGAAGAAGAGAAGAAGACAGGTAGAAGAAGATGTCATAACCCGTTCGGGGTCCAAAGTAAAGTTGAACAAGAAGGGTACCATGATGATTACTTGTAGTTTATTTGGAGGGATAGGCCACAACAAGAGGTATCATCAAAAGGCCAATGCAACACATGAGGTATGTTTACAGATGTGCTATAATTTTTAGCATACTATCTGATCTAATGTGCATTAGTTTATATTCTCGTGATAGCATTTGTCTTGTGGGGTTGTAGATCATACACATGAAGGAAGCTTAAGGGATGTGAGGAGTGAAAGATTAAGGGTAATTACAACTATTGCAATATCATGCTTTAAATGAATCTGGCCAAATAAAATTTTCACTACATATATGATGTTATGACACTATTACAGGTAAAACTCATGTATTGGAGGCAATCGGGGATGCCTCCATCTGAAATGCAACCACCAGAACAATCATCTAATTCCCTTTTCATGCCAACACCTGGAATTGGTTTAACTAGTGCTGCGTAATTTACCAACTATGGTCCTCTACTATAATGAGCCAGCTAGTTCAACAATAGAGAAATCTCCGCTTAAAGCCATAGTGGAAGACTTTCAAGAGAGAGAGAACCAAGAAAAACAAAGGAAGAGGGCAACCATAGCAAAAAATAGAATGATTGTTCGAGGGTCGGTTCCATTTGTGCCTCCAAGAAAAAATTCAGCAACTCAATAGTATTTTCTTTTTGTTTAATCATGATTTGAATTGCTATTTTTGCATATTAGTTGAATGAAAATATGCTTCTCGGTTTCTTGTTGGAATGCTTCTTTGAATTGCTATTTCAGAGATGAAATTTTAGTGTATAATTGCCACAATTATTTGTTGAATAGGTAAAATAAAAATAAGAAAGCAAGGAACAATTTCATCTTTTGGCATTATAATGAAATTGTGCAGACATGTTAATTTTTCTGCCAATCCAATGTTGAGGCTTCATTTGATATAGTAGCTTGCACATCCTTTCTTACTTTTAGCTTCATAAAATGGCCAGTAAAGTATAATACATAATTTGAATGTGATATTGATAGAAATCATGTAAAAACATCATAACATCCATGATATATATTCATCTTGATACTCATTTTTTCAAAAAAACAAGTTTACCTTATTAACTCGGTTTGTAGTGTAAGAAGAAATAAAGGAAATCACTGGAGTTCTTTAACTTGGAATAAGCATAATTTAGTCTATTATTAATTTAGATTATTTGACAACACCAACAACAACAAACTAAGTTTTTTCCCAACAACAAGGGCTAGTTCTGTTGACATCTTCACCTTAGATTCTTGTTAAAAATGTGATTTTTCTGAGACAGTGGCTTGGAGCAAGTATACAAGCAAGCCTATTTAGGACAAGGTAGTATCAATTGCATTTTCTGATAGAATTCCCCAGGCCCCTGTTTGGAGGTTTGTAGCTTTGGAAAATAGTAAGTTGAGCTTAAGAGGATTATATTGGTTTCTTCAGCACACAAGTATGTAAATTACTCTAAAGAAGATCTTGCTTATCAATCTGTGCCTAGGTGTTCAATTATAGAAATGCAACATAAAGACACAGAATTCAGAACTGCACCAGAGAGGGAAAGCCTTTAACACTAACAATAAAGCATTCCAAATAGTACAATGGAATTTAGTGGAAAAAAGTCTTCATTACAAACATTTATTATATACCCTTCAAGTATCTGAGTACATCATTCTTAATAGTAATAAGAGATGAGCACAAGGCACTAAAACACCACTTTTCTCTTCATCACATCCTTTAGCTTCAATGTCATAAATACCAGACCTAAACTAAAAATTCAAAACCACCTTTTTTTTTTTGTAAGAATCACAGAATATGTTGAGTCTTGGACCACGCCAATGTCATTAACAAAACAACTGCTCGTAAGAGGAACCCACAGTATAGCAGTATCCACCACCCATAGATGCTGGCTGAACATGGCCAACCTTCATCTTATGCCTACGCTGCCAAAATTGTAGAGGAATTTAGAGTTCATATGGATTTGGGGATTTCTCAAATTGGAGTTTAATATGCATTTGTTCCTTGATTTCGGGCTTATGCTGGGATGAAAATGGTTTGGATTTAATGTAAGGAAGAATTGAGTAATGTGATGGAGAAAAATCAATATGGGGTTCCAGAGAATTGAATGATGCTGTGAGGAAAATAGCTATGGAAAATTTGGAAGGAAAAACCTATTTTAATTTAATTGATTTTGGTCGTTGCTACCAAAATATTTAACATTGTTACGTCCACGTATGATTTCCATCTGTCACGTGGGTTTTTTTGTCCATGTGGATGGATGGATTTTAAATGGGTGATAAATGAAAAACTCCGTTTACAAGTGGGTGAGTAATTGATTAACTTTTTATTTTCGAGCGAGTAAATAGGGTTTTTTTTGTCCATATGGATTGATGGATTTTAAATGGATGATGGATGAAAAATTGGGTTTAAAAGTTAATTGGTAATTTTTTATTTTTTGAGGGAGTAAATAGTAATCGAAGTGAAATGTCAGTGATTGTCTATTTAATTAATTCAAAAGAGTTCGACTATGATGAAATCTTCTCTATATCTATCTATATCATAATCCATACACTCTCTCCTCTCACTTGTCCATACCCAATTTTTTGTAATCCAAACCAACCAATAAGAATGCAAGAAACAACCACAAAGATAGAGAAAATACAAGCTCACTTTCTCTCGCTAAACAAAGCTCAACCTCAAAATGCTTTCCACATTTGTTGACACGTGTCCCACTGTCTCACCACTAGCTGAAGAAACAATTTCGTTTGTTCATTTCCCCTCCACTGGAAAAATATAAAACTACAAAACTGGGCACCATTGCAAGAGACGAAGAGTCAATAAGAAGCAGCACTTAAATTCACTCTCCATTTTTGCTTACTCTCTCTCCCCTCCATATTCTGTGCACATTTAAGTTCTACAAGCACAAACACTGATTATTTTATTCTCTGTGTAATCAAGAAAGTAAGTCTTTGTTTCTTGAAAGCGCGAGAGTTGAGAAATGGCTTCTTTAGTTTCTTCACCGTTCACACTGCCCAATTCAAAAACATCCCACCTTTCATCAGTTTCACAAAAGAGCTACTTTCTTCATTCATTTCTTCCCAAAAAAATCATCCAGAACAATTCAAGAACACCCCATAATTTCAAAATTGCTGCAATTGGCAATGGATTATTCACCCAAACAACACCTGAAGTTCGACGAATTGTTCCCGAAAATTCCCAAGGCCTTCCCACTGTAAAACTTGTCTATGTAGTATTAGAAGCTCAGTACCAATCAGCCCTTACAGCTGCAGTTCAGAACCTGAACAAGAATGGGCAATATGTTTCATTTGAGGTTGTTGGCTACTTAGTTGAGGAACTTAGAGATGTGAATACTTACAAAACATTCTGTAAGGATCTCGAGGATGCAAATATCTTCATTGGTTCGTTGATTTTCGTCGAGGAATTGGCCTTAAAGGTTAAGGCTGCAGTGGAGAAAGAAAGGGACAGGCTTGATGCGGTTTTGGTGTTCCCTTCAATGCCTGAAGTAATGAGACTCAACAAATTGGGATCATTTAGTATGTCACAACTCGGGCAGTCGAAAAGTCCTTTCTTCCAGCTATTCAAGAACAAGAAATCATCTGCAGGGTTTGCTGATAGTATGTTGAAGCTTGTAAGGACACTGCCTAAAGTTTTGAAGTACTTGCCAAGTGATAAGGCTCAGGATGCAAGAAGGTATATACTTAGTCTGCAGTTTTGGCTTGGGGGTTCACCTGATAATTTGGTGAATTTCTTGAAAATGATTTCTGGTGCTTATGTTCCTTCTCTAAAAGGGACAAAAATCGATTACTCGGACCCGGTTTTGTACTTGGATAGTGGAATTTGGCACCCTTTGGCTCCCTGCATGTATGATGATGTGAAGGAGTATTTAAATTGGTATGGTACTAGGAGGGATGCAAATGAGAAGCTTAAGAGTAAGAATGCACCTTTAATTGGATTGGTTCTGCAGAGGAGTCATATTGTTACTGGTGATGAAAGTCACTATGTGGCTGTGATCATGGAACTTGAAGCAAGAGGAGCCAAGGTGATACCCATTTTCGCAGGTGGGCTCGACTTCTCAGGACCAGTCGAGCGGTATTTCATCGACACGGTTACAAAGAAGCCAATGGTGAATTCAGTGGTGTCACTGACTGGTTTTGCTCTTGTTGGAGGTCCAGCAAGACAGGATCATCCAAGGGCTGTTGAGGCCTTGATGAAGCTTGATGTGCCTTATATGGTGGCACTGCCTTTAGTTTTTCAGACCACAGAGGAGTGGTTGAACAGCACATTGGGGCTTCACCCTATTCAGGTGGCTTTGCAAGTTGCTTTGCCAGAGCTCGACGGAGGAATGGAGCCGATTGTTTTCTCTGGCCGGGATCCAAGAACAGGCAAGTAAAATTTTCATCTTACAATTTCAGTACATGTGTATGCTGAATTCTGCTAGTTGTCCATTTATCAACTCGGCTATCAGTTGTTACTATCAATAGGCCTTTAAATTGTTCATTTGAAAAAATGAAAACCCTTCTTGTTGGACAGTTATGGTAGTAAGGCTTAGGGTGAAATAAGATGAAATAAATGTACAAGATATAGCGCTTGTGCTGCTACTCTTAACGACATATGGTACTTCCCAAAAATCAAGATTCTTGATTACTAGAGGAACAATACCACTTTATTTGATAAATTAAATACCAAAATGGATGATCAACTCATACGTACTGGAAACAGTCGCAGGAAATCCTTTGATAACACGGATTCTTATTACCCAGGAAATCCTTTGGCTAAAACCCGTATACCATTTCATATAAGTTCATTGATATCTTCCTTTTATAAAACTAATACTCTGTAACTCTCGAGTAATCCATTTAGTATTGTTGCTCACACGGCACTTTTCATTACTTGCATGTTTCTGAGAGACTGTTACATTATAGATTTTTTGTTTAGTTTTTGCTCTTTTCTCTAAAGTATATTGCTTTCACGGACTCTATTACAGGAAAATCACACGCTCTTCACAAAAGGGTGGAGCAGCTCTGCACCCGGGCAATCAAATGGGCTGAACTGAAGCGGAAAACAAAGGTATGTAGTCTACTTCTTTATGCAATTCAAGATTTTTGTACTAGTTAGTGAAAGACTAATTGGAAATTAGAGAAGTGTGTAAAGATAAATAGAAGAATATAAAATAAATATATGGTCAAATAAACCAAAGATTTGAAGAGATAGAAATCTTGATTCGAACATACTTTCTACAACACAGGCATTTGAAATTCACATCAATGCTTCAAAACCTGATTTCTCCGGTCGAACCAGTTGGGATGGACTGTTTTTGTAACTCTGATAAACACATTATTCGAGGAGAAATGATTCTAAAACCATAACCTTGAATAATATTAAAATTGACCATAACTGTCATTATCATTTTCTTTGTTCTACATAAAAAATTGGATTTCAAGCTTATACTACTTTGATTTCCCAATATTTGAACATTAGTTTGAAGGAGACATTGAAAATATTGGCTAACGATGATATCATAATTTATTTGCAGATGGAAAAGAAGCTGGCAGTCACTGTATTCAGTTTTCCACCAGACAAAGGCAATGTAGGAACTGCTGCATACCTGAATGTTTTTGCTTCGATTTACTCTGTCCTCAAAGATTTG